ACAGCAACAGCAACAACAACAACAACAACAACAACAACAAAATGACTTAAGAATCGGCTATTGATAATGTATTGGCTTTGTCTGGATACGCAAAACCTCCAAAGTCCAAGCTAGCTAGATAATCTTTCATGCAGACAGACCTTCTTTATTATTTACGTTTTGTTGACCAATCAAATAAAGCAAGTAAGCCTGTGACAAGTTTTTTTTTTTCCATATACGTCTACTTTTACTTATTTCTATCTTCTGTCACTTTTTCGTTTCCTTTGTTTCCCTTTCTTTTGCCTTCAAAAAACCATGGTATTTGCAAAGGAAAACTGTAAAAAATATGTTTGATATATGAACAACAATAATAACAATTATTCAACTAAATGTTGGCATAAATCTTGCTGCTTTAACTGGTTTAAGAAAAACACATTAAAGAATAATGGAATAAAGAAGATGTTTTTTCATTATCCATTTGACTGCAACTGCTGTAAATCATCCTCATCATTTTCATTATCTTCATTGTACGTTGGTTCATAAAACAGTTGAAGGATTCTGTTTTCTCTAGCACCTAGCAAACGCTTCTAACAGTTTCCAGACGTTTTAGAAATTCAGATAGACATCCGGGTAAATCACCGATTATAGCTTAATGATTAGACGACAAGCTTGAATTGTGAATTATATGTCGGTAACTATTGCGTTATTGGCAGTAAAGAATAGAAGTTGCTTCATCAAAAAGCAGCGTAACCATCAATTTGGGTACACACGAATCACCGTTAGATGATATATGTTCGAAGTACAGAAATGTATTCATTGAAGTAACAACACTTTGCCAAAACTAATCTATATTCATTGCACTTCAGTTTGATTAATATTTGTTCCTAAAAGTCCAATTCTTCTTTCCCATTATTTCACCGGTTGTTTATTTTTGCAATCCTCCTTTTCCTCTTCACTTCGTTTTCTTCTATAAATTCGAACTGGCCAAAATTATTGCACCAAAATACCAACAAATATATGCAAAACTGCTGCACCACAAAAATTTTTTTACGCCTTATTTTTCTTTACAACTTATTTGTTTTTGCTCAAAAATATTGTCCTCGTTCGTTAATGAATATGCTGTAGTACAGCAAACGTTAATAAGTGCAAATAAACAAACAAATAAATAAAAAAAGACACATAAACAAGAACAATAACAACATCAAAGAAAACTTTTTTACGATAATATCAAAATTAAAATTCAACGCCACATTACTTCAACTGTTTT